CCATTATTATCAATCAAATTAGAAGATGTTTAAAAAAGTTGTGTGTAATTAAAGAATGCTTGTTTTGAAAGGTGTCTCTCAAATGATTAATTATCTCTTACTTGGCTTATACATTGTATAAAATTTGACAATTTCCTTTTGATGACTTATAAGTTAAGCTAGTGGTTACTATGACTAAGTTTTTTTATAAGTAAATTATTTATAAATTTATACTTTATTAATATGTGATGTGGCTCATGTACCTTTGACCCATTCATGAGAATATTCCTTTACACAATCCAAACAGTGTGCTGTGTGGAAAGATCCATGTGCTTCAACAAGTTTCTCTTGCGGGACCCCTGCCACTCGTTCTAGAGTGTCAATATTCTGTTGAATACATTGAGCAGAAGAAAACATTTGAATTAGGAAAAAAAAATGCAAGATTTTACTTTCAAGTGTCACCTCTTTCACATTGCACAGGCAAACCATGTGCTGATATTGCAGTTAAGTTACCTCCTAAATTTTTGTTAAAGCATCTTTTCCATATCTTTGCATTAATAGGGAATATTTCAATAATGCTGACTTAAACTGAAAGCTTCTCTCCACTAAACAAGCAATAGCATGCATGCCAGTGACTATGACTAAAAGTTTGCTACTTCTTCTAGATACATGGGAAGTTTTTCACCTAATTATGCAAAGAGGACCTCCCACCATTTTGAACAGTATAGCTGTCAACCCTTTCATTGCAACTTGGTGACTTGGTGGAGAAAGGCGCAGAAAGAATATTTAGTAATCACATAATTTTATTTATTATATGAATTGTCTTGTCTGAGTACACAATAAATACCAGCATGAGCTTGACCTACTTTAGACCTGTTGGTCTCAGTGGTCATGTAATGTTAACTGCCCAGACTGACATAAGCAATTCATACCTGAGTGTAGTTACGTAGCAGCAACTCCTTGTCACTTAAGAGCTTGATAAAATAATGTGAAATTGTTGGCTGAGAAGAAAAAATAAAAAATGTATATAATAATTTAATCAGTATTAATGTTTGGTTTTCAATCACCACCACACTATTTCCATGATTCTCTTAGGTTTTTCATCACATAATTTAAAATTAAGCAATGAACCAAAAAAAAAAAAAAAACTGAAAACATTAATTTTATTAGTTACTCAATTATATAACTTAAATACTGAGTGACAGGTTTTTCAAAAGTATATTGTTCTTACTTTAAATGATCCAGGGTACAGCTCTTTAGCCAGCATAAAGAATGGCTCTGGGTTTGACTGGTGATCAAATAGAACACTGCACTTGAAAATAATCCATAACTGTTACTGCACAAAAGCTATGAATCCTTTAAAGCTACATTTCATTTATCCTTGCAATTCAAAAACTGGTATATTATCTGGCTATAACAGGTTATAAGAACAGAGAAGTTGATCATATAGAAGGTGTTATCTTGATCTAGGACCCAATTCTCCAGCTGTCTTATTCTCAGGGAAATGCATCACAGTCAAAAGGGAGAATTTCTAATTGGATCTTGCAAGTTAAAGGGCTAATAGCTATATCATGGTGATCACATTACTATTGGGACGATGCAGTGAATTTCAACCAGGGCTGCCACACAATTTCTTGTCTAATAACTGCACGACTGAAAAATCAGTAGTTAAAGAAAATCTACACCGAGACAACTGTGCCCCTTTACTCAGACTTGTATAACTTACCCGAAAGAATTTTATGTCAAATACTGCTTGGGGGTGGGGTAAGTCATATTTTTGCAGGTTGTCATAGAGACCAGTGCCAGGAGATCTAAAGTCTGGAATCCCTGCAGCAGTTGAGATGCCTGCACCTGTCATCACAATGATATTTTTGCCTGCAAAAGAAATGTTTTCCTGTATAAAATTACAACACTCATCCCTCTGCCACTTCTATGGTACTAAATATCCAGTTCTCTTTACAAATACTGACATAAGCTTTCTAGTAACAGCTGTTTGCAGGGGAGAGATGAGAGACCATTATAATGAAAGACATCAAATCAAGAAATTGCTAAAACTCTTCCTTGTGAGAATTAAGTTCTCTTGTGATTTCTCATGATGGAACTACAGAATAACTGGCCATATAAACCTGTAATAATTTATAGATTTTATGAAAAGAAAATGAAGAGAACTGGCAAATATCATTAGCAGAACCAAAAATCATACCATGGGTGTTAAGTTAGAAGCACAATGTATTAGCTTGAAAGTACTGTGATCCACTCAATCTACACTGCATTTAATTTAGAATGCAATGTTAATCATTTTGTCTACTTACATTTCCCTTTCTTGATATAATTTGTAACTCCTTCAAACGTCACTTCCTCTAACAATTGTTCTGGCTTTTCTTTTTCACCAACATCACTAGTTGGTGGTTTTAATTGGGCCAGTAACCGTTGAAGAAAATCTAAGGATTCCAATGGGAAGCAAACACTAATAATTTAGTCATTTCTTGATGTGCATTTCTGCAACATGAAGAAATTATAACAGTTGTATAATACACAGATTAAACTGATTGTTGATGTGCTCTATGGAATGTTCTACCACCAGTTTTTATCACAAGACACCTATATATCAAACTAAAAGTTTCCTTATCAAAAAATATATTTATCATGATGATGATGGTCTGATTATACATGGTTAGCAGTCTGATTGGCTTCAGACTGTCTGAGAATTCATGTAAGCAAAGCTACGCAGCATAGTTTACAATAAAGTGATACATATATCTTATTAACCAAGCGTGAGGGCCGTACTGGGAGAATATCGGCCCGAGGTCTTGACAGTACGAGCGCAGCTCGGTCCGTACAAAAACGACCAAGGGCCAATGTTCTTCCAGTACGGTCCCGAGCAAGCTTGGTTAATAAGAGATTTATATAC